CAGGGAATTTGTGATTTCACATAGACGAAGCTGCATAAAGCTTCTTGGTTTGCAATAGTTCTTTATCTGAAGTTGTTCTATGCGATAAAAAAAGAAACCAATAGTCATTATGAAATGGTAAGAAGAAACATATCACAAATATATCAGATATACATAGTCCGTAAAAAAACAAACATGAATTTGAAAGTCAGAATTCGTTGTCATAAGTCATTCTGTATTGTCTTTAAAATTAAGAACATTTCTTCAACTGGTGCATAGTTCAGTGTTTCTGTGTTTATGTGCGTGTGTGTGTGTGTGTCTATACATATATATATATGATACATAACATTTTCGATGTAAGTTTTGTCCACTGATAAATTACACAAGTAATGTATAAATATAAGATGCATATACAAATGTAAATAACAGTTCTTGTAATGAGAACATCAACAATGTTAATAAAAGCACGACATAGAGTCACTGTCTGGCAATCATATGATTAATGTAATGGATACATATTTTTTTCTAAATTATTATTATCTTTGAAATAATTATTAAGTTTAACATATATATATTCATATACATGTATTAATATGTAAGTTTTCTTATTCCGACAAATAGTTTTGTCTAGACTAATAGACTATTGGAAATTATAAGCTATTTGCAATGTTTAATGACAGAAGAAGATAGATATGCTTATCACTGTACATATATATTAATCAACAAAAGATATCAACTAACTTTAGGATATTTGCCAGTTATATAATATTTGAACTTGTTGAATTCAATATTACCATTTGTAATATTATTATTATTATTATTATTATTATTATTGAAACTATTTAATAATATTTATAGACTATTTTCATATACATATTCAATTATAGTACTGATTAAAATCTATTAAACTATTTGTGTTGTCAATTATAATATAATGTATTGATTTGAAGAATGAAATAACTTCTTAACCATTGAATTTTAGGAGTTGATCTAAGCTGAAGAGTTGCACATGATCATGGATCGATCGAAATTAGACATTAGCACAGTTGGATACCGGCTCAGTGTATCAGGGGTTAATCGTTCGAGTGAGAGATCGAAGGCCTTGAAAGCGGGATCATGATTGTGCACTGACAAGGAATTCTATAATAGAACTAAATGAGTCATCCAGTACTTTTAACTTTTCAATAGTGATCTAGCTTAGATCGACTAATGAATTCAATCCCAATTCTGAAAAGAGGATTTTTTTTGTTTCTTTGTTGAAAACAGAACATTTTTCAGAAATAGATCTTGAAACCTAACAATATTTTTTTTAAAAACTTGTTATTTAAAGTTAAAAATATTTTTATTTCAATTGTTAATCACATTTTGCCTTGGTTTTGATGAGTAGATTTACAATATCAAACTAGACATATCTATCACACTTACAAACATTGATGAAAAGATCTTATCTAAATTCCTAATTAAAATTTAAATGTATGAATAGGAAACAGATCTGTGAGAAATCTATTTTAAAGCCACTATGTTAAATTACAATTTACATATAATTAAATTGTGTACTATTGTGATGTATGCCACTGATGTCAATAGACATAAGTAGTATGTATCATTAGTCGAAAGTGAAATACCTGGCAGCAGAAGATTAAGAAGATCGAAGAAAAAAGAACGAGAACAAAAAATGATTGATATGAAAACGAACCTACAATCAAGTATGAGACGATCGATTGACATTTTGCAAACGAAGTATTTACTATATGATTCTTAGATTTTATGAAGATGTTCTGTAATATTATGTTCAATTACATTTGATTGTCCCCATTTATGTTCTCGTTTACTACACTATCATTAATGATCTAATTCATTTCATATTTTTATATTGATAATTTTTGAATGATAAAATATACCGATATATAAACAGTAAAATTGACCTTTAAACAAATTACTATAAACATAGTTTGTGTGAATTTATTTTCGAACAGAAAAATGATCTGTGCAAAGAACAAAAAGATGATTAAATATAGATTATGAATTATAATTATTGAAAACTAATATAATAATGGAATTCATGAATCGATTAAAGCTAGATTAGCATGAAAAACCTAGAAGCATTGAACGGTCGTTTCGTTCTAGTATAAGATTTTAAACAATGTTTCCAGATTGTACATGGTGGTTTACCTTCAATTGAGTCATAATCTCAACTGTTGGAAATAAAAAAAGATTAAACATTTTAAGATAATCATTTAAAATAGAAATATCTTTGATTTTAACACAGTAAAATATTATTTAGATATAATTGTTAAGTAAAACAGGGACTAGTCACTAGATGTGATTATCTGCATTCATACCATATCCAACAGATGCCATTAATAACTTTGAGAACTTTCAGGATTGATGATAAGAAAACAATCACTGGAATAATGGTCTATAAAGAAATAGACTGAATTTCTTAAACTTTCATCAATACAGTAAAATTTTACTTCAGCGTTAAAAGTTAATATTTCTCCTAATATTCCATTAAAGCACAAAAACGTTCATATTTCCAGAGTCCGATTACAATTTAGTGGATATTTAGTCGGTTTCTTAATGTCTATTAACTAATTTAATTGACATTAACAATTTTTCAGTAAAAACTGGGCCAGGAATATCCAGAGATCCACAAATAACTAAGTATAGTACCCAAGATTCATAGTGTTTAATATCATAACTACTCCTTTCAAATCTTGATCATTTTGTTTTCCTTAGCTCGTATTTATGAAAATTATCTTCAAAATTTAGTAGCTAAAATCTAAAGGGTTTTGGATGTGGAAAATTTCAGTTTATCTCAATATTTTTCTCATTATAAACTAGGATCAATTCCGAGATTACTAAGACAAGCACACAGGATAAAATTTTGTCACAAATCATGTTAACTTTGTTAAATCCTTGACCTAAAGATGTATTGACCCAAAGACCACTAAACTTTTCATTGATGAATTGATCATCTAATCACTAGATCACATAGATTAAAACTCTGTCATTTTTTTTAATGATTTACATCATTTAGTGAGGCAAGAACTCATGAAAACAAAACGGTTCAATAAATTGTAACACTGGACTTATTAATGGATTGATTCATATTGATTGATGAAGTCCCAGACTAGGGAACTAGGTCAAAATTATTTAAATCCCTCAGGGAATATCAGTTTCCTCAAAATTCCAGGTATGAGTTTCTGACAAGTATCTGTTAACACAAAACCCAAATCCAATGTCCCACCTATATATATATATATATATATATATATATATATATATATATATATATATATATATATATATATATAAGGCAGATAATAAAGATAAGAATCATTTCCATTAGATTATATGTTGATCATTGACAGTTATCATTGTATCGTCAACTAATCACTTATTCACATTACCATACTAAATTATTTGTCTCTTATGCTTAATATATAAATATAAACAAACAAAAATTAAAATATATTCTAATTTGATATTACTATTATTTGTCGATAATTTTACGACATTAACCAAAATGACTTTTTTTAGTAATGCGACGTTACTCCTATTGATTCCCTATTGGTCATTTTCTAGGTCAATAAATTATATATAAATATACCTTACAATTACATGGAATAGATTGTAACCAAGGGCATAAAGTCAATACCAGTAATTAGAATAAACGTTAGGTATTTTTGAGAGCGATAACTTAGTAAATAACTCATTATTGAAACTTATTGTTAAAATTCATGACGTTGGAAGTAAACTTAATAGAAAGTGGAAATGAATGTAGATAAAAAAAGGTTTGGGAGTAATAAATGGTTTGAATTATGTCCTTTGATAGAAATCGAATACTTGATGAAAAATGTAAAAGAATTAGTAAGTAACTTTTAGACATCCGACATTTTCAGTTGCATAGATAATGTAGAACATTGATTAAAATAAACTGAGATCCTATATAAAGCATCAATCCGATTAAGATCGTAGATGTTTTGCTGACGAGTGACACATAGAAAAACGCTTGAGTCTAGAGTTCCTTCTGACCACTTCTAACCACTTCTAACCAATTAATATTAATTGAAATCTTCATTTTTATGCTTCTTCCAATCAAATGTAATGAATCCAGTTATGTAGCCTATTATTCCGGAACATGATAGTTGCTGCTCATACTCAAACATAAGTGAAATACAGAATAGTTAACATATGCTATTAGATTTAAAAAAGCAAGGTTTAGTTCGAATCAAATTGATTAGAAATATTGGGCAATTTAAAATAATTTATATGATTTTCTAATATCTATTGCTTATTAAAAAAATATACAACAGTATGAAATATTGAGTGGTCGTAATTACCTTGTAAAAAAAACTCTGAAATGATTCTTCTCAAACTTTACCATCAATATGTATCGATAAATTAAAACAAATTTCTGCCACTCTGATATTTTAGAAACACTGTGAAGGAATTATTTACTTTGTAAATAGCTAATGTATAATACCCTTCCTTATCATGAGGGGACATTAGGATATTTATGTGTATAAACCAACATCCTTGGGGGACATTATCCATAATGAAGTGTGTTATTGTTAAATATACCCAACTGTTAAATATAATAACTTCCTTTACGTCTTTTTCTTTCATACAAGCAATCATCATTATTCATTATTAAATCGCTTTTATTAATTCAAAGAATCACTTGGAATGTTGTTTAAAACTTCTAAATTCATTTTCTTATTATCAGAAGGGGTTTTGTGGAGATTGTAGTAATTTCAATGGTTAAGATCATGAGTCATGGAAAACCTGTAAGCACTGGGCAGCCGTTTCGTCCTATTGTGGGACTCCTCAGCAGTGCGCATCCACGACCTCGCTCCCTGCGAGATTCGAACCCAGGACCGACTGGTTTCGCGCTCGAGCACTTAAGTTCATTTTATTATGTTTAGATGCTGACAAAAAAGTTATGTATAAATTGCGATTCTAATGACACAAATTAAATTGTTAAACATTCTTCCATAACTGTCAAAGTCAAATATTTAAATTTGTTTAGATACAGCTATGCGTATAGGCGCTTTGACACTATTCGGAATTATAAAAGAAATAATGCGGCATAACGATGATGATGATGATGATGATGATGATGATGATGATGATGATGATGATGATGATGATGATGATGATGATGATGATGATGATGATGATGATGATGATGATGATGATGATGATGATGATGATGATGATGATGATGATGATGATGATGATGATGATGATGATGATGATGATGATGATGATGAAAAAGCTTCAGATAACCACATGGTTATGGAAAAGATGAAACTAAATCTAAAGAAGCACTGGAAATCTGGTGAAACAACAGTATAAAGGTTTAATATAAACTTTCTACGAGATACTAACAAATTTAACGAATCCAAGATAGTTCTCAACAACAGGTTTCAAACCCTGCAAGATCTACTAAAATATGGAGAGGTTACTATGAAGGAAAATTGGAAACGGATCAAACATGCACTAACTTAAACATATCAGGAGGTTCTGCGCCGCAAGAAGCATCATCATAAGGAACAGATCTCTATGGAAACTGTGGACAGGTCTCAAGAAAGAAATTCAAGGCACAGACCGAACACACCAAAGCAAAAAAGAAAGTGAAGGGGAGCTTTAAAGCCGATAAGCAGAAATACATGAAAGACTAAGCAACGACAGCAGAAAAAGCTGCAAGAGAAGGAAATATGAGACAATTATATGACAACAAATAAACTGGTAGTTAAATATAGTAAACTCGAGAGACCATTCAAGGACAAAGAAGGCAAGACAATCACCGAGATTCAAGAACAGAGGAACAGATGGGTGGTATAGTTCGAAGAACCCTTGAATAGACCTACTTCATTAAATCCACTAGAAATTGAAGCAGCACACACAGACCTTCCTATGGATGTCACTCCGCCAAAGGTCGAAGAAATCGGGACAGCCAACAGACAACTCATAAGGGGAAATCAGCAGGATTTGACAATATTACAGCTGAGGCACCGAAGTCTGACATAGAAGCAACTGAAAACACGCTCTATTCAGGAAACGTTGGGAGGAGGAACAAGTGCGTACAGATCAAAAAGAAGGATATCTCATCAAGATACCATAAAAAAGAGATCTGAGCAGGTGTGAGAACTATGGAGGAATCACAGTACTATGAGTACTAGGAGAAATCTTCAACAGAGTGTTGCTAAACCAAAGGAACGATTCAATAGATGTCTAGCTTCGAGATCAACAGGCTGGATCACGTAAGGATCCGTCGTGCACAGACCAAACCAAGAAACTATGGATCATCTTTGAACAATCGATTGAATGAAATTCGTTACTATACACCAACTTCCTTGACTATGGGAAGGCTATGATGATTAGGAGTAATTGAATTATAGTATGAACTAAGAATCTCAGGGATAACGCAATTGAATCAAGAAGTACTACACAAGCACTAACGAATGTACTGTATTTAGAATTCGAAATCAAACATTCAACAAGTACAAAGGAGTCATTAGTTCATTCAAATACCACAAAGGCGTTTAACAGTTTGAATAGAAGAATTTCACGGAAACGTCTTCGACACTATGGAGTACCTGGAAATAGATTACTTAAATTCAGCTGGACGATTTATAATTTGCAGATGACCTAGCTCTTCTACACCATGCACAGCAAGAAATGCAAGTGAAAATAGTCTGTATAACAGCAGTTTTTGCAGTAGGTCTCAACATACACAAGGGAAAAAGCAAGATCCTGAAATACGATACAGAACACCAACCCAATCACACTTGATGGAGAAGTTCTAGAGGCGGTAGAGAGTTCTACGTACCTAGGAAGCATCATTGATAGACAAAAAGAATCTGAAGCAGATGTGAATGAATGTATTAGCAAGGTAAGGACATCATTCCAAAAATTAAAGAACATATGCAATTCCAAACAACTGTCACCAATATCAAAGTCAGGATTCTCAATACGAACGTCAAGACATTTCTACTGTACAGAGTTGAAACTTTGATAACTACTAAATTATCATCAAAAAGTCGCAGATATTTAAAACCGATTGTTCACACAAGTTACTCAATATCGTTTAACCGGATACCATCAGCAACAATTTGCTGTAGGAGAGGACAAACTAACTTCCATATGAAGAGAAAATTAGGAAAAGATGCTAGAGATGGGTAAAACACACATTGAGAAAATCATCAAACTGCATCATAAAGAAAAGCGCTTAGTTGGAATCCTAAAGAGGAAAAGAAAAGAAGAAGACCAATAAGCACATTGCATCGAGAATCGTTAACAGACATCAAAACGATGAATAACAACTTGAAACAACTAGAAATTAAAGCACAGGATAGAGTTGTATGGATAATGCAAGTAGTTGGCCTATACTTTATCACAAGTTGTAACAGGTTTAAGTGTAATTAATATAACATTTTTTTTCATAGAAAAAAGTAACCTTAATAAGTTCAATAAAATCTTCATTACTGAAATAATAATCAGTTAAGTATTTACATTTTAAATCCTTATGTGAAAAATGCTTTCTCCACCATCTCAAATATTAATTATATTTATAAAAATTCTTATGAACTCTTATTCATCATATTTTATATATATTTTTTTTCAATGAATGTAATTTACTCAAGTTCAACTTCATTAATATAGTATGCAAATATTTTGACTCATTTATACTACTACTAATACTACTAATACTATTATTATTATTAATACTATTGCTACTACTACCACTACTACTACTATTACTAATATTACTACTATCCCTAATACTACTACTACAATTAGTACTAATACTAATACTATTACCACCACTACCACTACTACTAATACTAATACTACTAATACTGCTACTAATACCACTACCACTACTACTAATAATAATAATATTAATAATAATAATAAAATACCATAATCAATTGCAAAAACATTCCATTTTATTCTTAGAATAGATCATTTTATCAATAGTCAATAACAGTCAAAAAATTGAACAAAATTATAATTTCATTCAATTCACAAATTGACTAATCATTCTATAAAGATTAAAAAAAACTTTTTTCACTTTTTTTGTACCAAAATAGTCATTAAATATTCATTTAATAATTTTTTTGTTTTTTTTTCATTAAATCACAATTTTCCTGTGTTTCATTACAAAAAAAATAATAAAAAATAAAAAAATTTTAAAAAATCAAAAAAACTAATTTACACGTGATTAAATTCTTTCAAATAATTATTGAGTATGTTATATACAAAACAAACAAAAAAATAATTTTTTTTTTAAAAATTTTATTTAGAAAAATACTTAACTATTTATATAGACAATTGAATCAATAAATTGTTAATTTCAATAAATTACTTCATTGAATTTATTTTAAAATTTTCAAACATCTTAATTCTTTATTTAAATGATTAAATGATTATTAATTCATTATACAAAATTGTTGATTATTATCGAATGATTCCATGAATAAATTTATGTATGTTTTATATAATTAATAAATTATTAAAATGATAAATAAGAACTTTTATCTGAATTCGATCGAATAGTTTCACAATATTTAGATACCGAGTTAATGTGAGATATTAAATAGGTAGAATGTATTTGTAAAATCTTATCGAATGAATTTAAAGTAAATGTAATGTTTCGCCTAACAATTTCGTCTAAGCGTTTTCAAGGAAATATAAATGGATCGAATATTTTCATAGTATTCGAGCGTTGAGTTGATATGAGATATTAAATAGGTAGAATGTATTTGTAAAATCTTAGCGAATGAACTTAAAGTAAATCCAACATTTCACCTGACAATCTGGTTCCAAAGATAATCTTCTTCGCTGAATTCTTATTCAATTTATCATTCAAAAACACTATTGATTGTTTTAGTTACTAAATGTTTTATTATCATGAACATTACTCCATGATAAATTATCGATCACAGAATTTTTTAATTGTCATCTATTTTCAGGAGAGGTTTTGTCGAGAATTCAGTAATTTCAATAGGTGAAATCATGAGTCAATTGAAGCTAGATCACCATGGAAAACCTGGAAGCACTGGACGGCCGTTTCGTCCTAGTATGGGACTCCTCAGTAGTTCGTATCCACGATCCCGTTTAATAAATCTTTAATAAACAAATTCATTACAACATTAGAAATCACAATTTAAAAAGGCTAAAATTAGTAACTATAAGGAAGTGCATACTGAATCTTCTATACAGTCTTAGAAAAATAAATTACAAACATGACATTTTTGATATTTTGATAACGAAATTTTGTATATAAACAAATTTCCCGTTAAACTACGCATTATATGAAGAGTGAAATCAATTTTCTTCACCTTACCTCCATAGTTACTACTTTTAGAATTGATTTATCTTACAATAATAAAAACTCTTACTACTAGAAATAATTGATTTCGGAAATAATCAAAAAAAAAAATTAATTCGTTATCACCTTTAATCGTTTTCTTGTAAGAATATATAAAACATAAATAATTTGACAATATCTTTATCATTCTGTACAACTATAGATTAATGTGATCGATGAGAATTTTTCGTATATTTGTCTATACAGATGACCTCCGAAAATGATTGAAAATTTTCATTGAACGAATTAAAATTGATGACAAATGAAATTCTTTTGGTTGTTTTAATGACCTAATCTCATTTCATGTGATTATATATCAACGTTTTCATTGGTTAATTGACTTAGTTTAAAATCTTTTTCCAATTTCCATCTCAAATAAAATTATATCTAAAGTTTTGATAGTTATTGATATAAGAAGCATTACTTTGTGAAGCTTAACCGATAAATAATATTTATTTTGTCGAAAAGTACTTATCCAGTTATGCTTACTTACTTACACCTGTTACTCCCGGTGGAGCATAGGCCGCTAACCAGCATTCTCTAACCCACTCTATCCTGGGCCTTCCTTTCTATTTCTATCCAATTTTTGTTCATTCTTTTCATGTCTGTCTCCATTTCTCGGCGTAATGTGTTCTTTGGTCTTCCTCTTCTCTTTTAGGCTTGATGGTTCCAAGTGATGGCTTGCTATGTGATACAGTTGGGTGCTTTCTTCAATGTGTATCCTATCCACTTCCGACATCTTTTTCCTGATTTCCTCCTCCACAGCTATAGTTTATTTGTACCTGAAGTTATCTTTGATTGCTTAAGCCGGCATAATTTTGAAAAGAGAGACATCCTATAAAAAATAGTTTTATTTTAAACCATTCTATGTACAAAGTAGAACAACTAGTTCCCAATGAAAAAGTTTATAATTAC